GGCCGGCGAATCACAACCACGCCGCGGATCGAGGTGAAACACAAAGGGTTTTATTTCCCTTTTATTTCCAAATTTGACATCTGTGAGATTTGGTGGATCTGTGAAATAATCGGGACAGAAAGGAAAGGTTGGAAATGCGGGTTCGAAGGCTGTAATTTGGGGTTTTCTGAAGGGATGGCGCAGTTGGGTTTGGGGTTGTTCTGAAGGGATGGGGAAGCTGGGATTTGGGATTGTTCTGAAGGGATTAGGCAGTTGGGATTTGGGATTGTCCTAAAGGGAGAGAACAGTTGGGATTTGGGGTTGTTCCARAGACACGGGGTAGTTGATTTTTGGGATTGTTCTGAAGGGATGGGGAAGTTGGGATTTGGGATTGTCCTACAGGGATGGGGCAGTTGAGTTTGGGATTGTCCTAAAGGGACAGAGCAGTTGGGATTTGGGATTGTTCCAAAGGCACAGGGCAGTTGGGATTTGGGATTGTTCTGAAGGAATGAGGAAATTGGGATTTGGGGTTGTTCCACGGGACAGTTGGGATTTGGGATTTTCTGAAGGAATGGGACAGTTGGGATTTGGGATTGTCCCACAGAGCAGTTGGGATTTGGGGTTGTTCCTCAGGGCAGTTGGGATTGCTCTCATGTTCCCATTGCGAATCAACCCCGCAGTTCGGTTTCCATGAAGGCACCAATCGTTCCTCCCAGGAACAATTCCTGGATTTAATCCCATCCTTTTCTGGGGTGCCGGGGCCATCCCAAACCTTTCCCAGCTCCGACTTTGCCCTTTTTCCGCGGTTCCTCRTGCCCGGCCCCGTGACCGATCCCGCCCCCATTGAGGGAGATCCCAAACCCGATAAAACCCCATTTCCTCCCGGCTCACATTTCCAGCCACGCCAGCCGCAATCGCTGCTGAAGGCATTTCTTAATTAACTCTTTTTAATTAACTTTAATCTCCCCCGAAGCTCCCACCTGAGCGCTCCTCCGAGCTCATGGGATGGGTTTGATCGATGTAATAGGGAATAAAAACTTGAAATTTTTGTTAGGAATTCTTATCGGGAATGGGAAAATTCTGAATGAAAGAAATGTGCAGAATGAGTTCTGGATTGGGTTGTTTTTTTTGGTTTGGTGGTTTTTTTCCTTTCTTTTTCTTGTTTATTTTTGTTTCTTTATTTTTGTTTTATGGGATTTTTTTTGTTTGTTTGTTTGAGGTTTTCTGTTTGTTTGAGTTTATTTTTTTTGTTTGATTTTTTTTAAACATTTTTTTTTGTTTTTTTCCCTGATCATTCCAATTCATTTTAACCATCTCCTAACAGGAAATTTCCTCAAATAATATCATTTATTTTAATTT